TCAATTGTTTGGCTATAATTGTAATAAATCTAAAAGTTCAAACAGAAACTGAATTTTACTGATTCAAGTTACCATGGTCACCAACTTGTTTGTTCCATAAAAACACCTTTTACAAAATAATAAACAAATAAACAATAACACTCCTTTTGCTTAAATGGAATCTCAAACCTAAGTCAACACCACTGACATATTGATACATACACAGACATAGCAATTATTTGTTTAACAACATACTCTAATTGTACTTAAGACAGTGACATGTCTAGATAGCAATGTAAGTACATCAAACAAAGCTTAACAGCGACAATAACACCTATTATCCTTTTCTACACATCCTTAAACAAACCGTCCCCAATCAAAGCTCATCCACAGATTCCATTGTCTTCATGAACGGCCACAGTAGCCCCCCAGACTGACCAAAGACTGATCTAATAGCTCTAAACCTGATGATAATCCTCTGGTTTTGTTTAATTATTGTCTGGGCAGTAGGGAGTGTGAAAGTCCGTGGCCTGAGGCTTAGCTGCACAGCTAACAAGCTACTGCTGCTGACATATTTCCCCTGGAGAGTGAATGTTTACCCAACTGCAGACTTGTGTGATGTTAAGACTTCTCTTACATGGTTTGTTTGAGTCAAACGCCATCGCTAATTTGTCTTCATGACATGTCATGATTTTAATGCTAATACCAGCATATTCAGTTATTTTGTATTAAAGCTAAAAAAAATAATCTTCACAGCTGTGTATACACTTGGACACCTGTTTTGTGACATTGTAGAATTCATTAAAATACTGTAAATTTCATTGAAAATATCAAGAATTTCAATTTCCATTCATGACTTACATGTTTATCACTTAAACATCATCAATGAATGAAAATATACAGAATATTGTTGTTAGTACAGCAATAGCAACAAATCATTTTCAGTAAACTATCTTTATAATGACAACACTTTTAATAAACTGAAGGATAAAACGAACATTTTGTTTTGTCCCTGCCATTTGCTGTGTAGTGTAATCAAACATTTATAGCATACTACAAAAAACTAAAATTAGTGGTCGCTTGCTCAAAATTGGTTCTTATTCAAAATTTTAGAACTGTGGAACTGTAGAATACTAATGCTATGTGACAACTATTTACACAAAAGGGATTCTTTAATAGTGAGGGAGCTCAGTTTTACGCCACTTTAAGCAATATTCCAGCAATATCAAGGCAGGGGTACCAGAAATGGGCTTCACACAATGTACCCATGTGGGGAATCGAACACAGGCCTTCAGCATGACGAGCGAACGCTTTAACCACTTGGCCACCTCACCGCCCCGGATTCTGTAATAACGTAACCGGGTTCATGACTACAGTACACACGTAAATCAATTCTCGGCACCCAGGCATGGGTCCGTGCGGATGTTTTCATTCTACCATTTTACTAGCTGAATCAATTAGTCATCCTTATGTCTACAGTACAGCCTGCCACTTATCAATATTTCACATCAGAAAGGCTGTGGATGATGACAAAAGCTTAGATCATCTGTCTCCTGCACTCAAACAATGATAGTGCATGCATCGACGGGTATGTATGTCGTTAGAGCTTCCACAGGTACGTAGTCAATCAAACACTGTTTGACATGTTCACGCGGCGGGGAGTAATCATGAGTGTATGGCTCAACGGTTACATCACACAGAAATTTCCAACAGCCTGGACCAGTTCATAGTTCTGGAGGTTAAAAATACTCTGCATTAAAGTGCACAGATCAAGCTGTTACAGCAAGGTGCAAATACATGGATGGCATATGTGGAAATCATATTTCTTAGGAAAAAGTATTGTATGATACAAGTAAAAACAATTACCTTTGCAAAGTTGAATGTACAACCACAAGGAAATGGTACAAATGAACAGGCAAAATAATATGATTCACAATTTGTCCAAACAAGCCTAGGGTTTTAGAAACTAGGGCTTTCCCAATCTTGAGGAAGCAGGGAGTGGTGGTGGGGCCAAACAAGGCTTACAAGCTCCTGGTGACATGACATTCGAAAGTATTGCTGGTACACTTAAATACCAAAGGGCACATCTAAACACACCAGTAGTGCCCTGTGGCTTGAAAAAGCACGAGACAATGTAACTGACATGTAAGATGTTTGACAAATGGACATGATTGTAGACACATCAGTCTTATACCATTGTCATGTTCCGTCTACAGATACAGCAGGAGGCATTCTTCATCAATTGATAATGTACATCGGACATCTTGAAATAGACACCAGGCATGATGATATGACAGATATTAGCATCTGTTGTATTTAGTATCTTACATTCTCTCACAAATCAATACTGCACCAGATTTGAGACATACTTTAAGGCTATTTGCAATCCAACTGCACTTTGATAAGCTGCTCTTAAGCATGGTTTTCAGGTTTTAACACAGGATATTGGCAAAAAATGTCAATAGATAATTTAACATTCTGGAAATATACACCAACACTTAATCCGTTTGTTACCCACAACATTCCACTGTCCATGGAAACATATAAGAATTATTGGTGATTTAAATACTCACGACAGTTCCAAATAAGAATAGAAAGATTTATTAAAAGTAGCCTTAGCCTAAAAACTACCTTGAATGAATAGAGACCCGTCTGTCTCCATGAATCAGGGAAGACCGTTCTGCAGAGTAAATATGGCAACTACAGCCCGATCCCATGCATGTGGAACCCAAAAAAGAATAGTTCCTTCCAAAAGAAGGCATCCTTATCTTTTTAGGAACACAGATTCAGGGATGTGCAGACTTTGATGTGAAACCGAAAAAAAAATCCTGCCCATGTCAAAATCCGACTATTATGTTTGTTCTTCAGCTAATACAGGGAAATGGAAACAAGGACTACATTCTACAAGATTAAAATTATTTGAACATGGATCTACCATCTTCTCCTGTCATGCTGATCCACAGCTTCGGTTCTTTGTTCAATTTATTTTACGTTTAGGAGAACAGGATAACAATGGAGGGTCGTTTTTCCAAGGACAGGGGGTCTAAAGATTCAAGTTCCTTACATAGGCTCACAACCAGCCAATAAAAACATAATCCAAAATAATAAGATACAGCCCATTGCCTTGAGAGTTTATTCTTCAATAAATAGGGACTGTCATGGTACTGCCAAAGACACACGTCTTGTGTTGTAGACACACACAGGAACAGTCATCAGTGATTTAGGTCATCTTTTTCCTTGTTTTCTTCAAATAAGTTTCATTAACTGTCTTTTAACTCACAAGAGAGGCTGACAGGCCCCACTTTTGTTAATCCTTTCTGTTGAAAGATTCCTTTGGTAATAAAGAATGGGCATGTGTGCCAATTTTTTTAAATATTGTTCCCTCTTTTCTCCTTTTCATAAGTTCTATGTTTTAAATAATAACATTATTCAAATAACTTTTCTTACAACTTAAATTAGAATAATTTTTCTTAAAAAATTTAACAAAATTTTCTTAACATGTTGACATTAGGGTTACGATGTCAAATGGTGCAGTTTCTATCATACATACACATACAGCATTACATGTAGTTCAGGCCAGGGTAATGTTGTCATCCTATATTATTGAAATATGTCTTAGTGTTGTCAACATGATACACTATTGAATTTATTTACCAACTTTATATCATTATATTTTCTTTGAACCATATCATATTATTTGCTATTTTGATATGCCATATTTCCCTACTGAAGCATATTTCAGAAGGGGCGGTGGGGTAGCCTAGTGGTTAAGGCATTCACTCATGGCGAATACCCAGGTTCAATTCCCCACATGGGTACAATGTGTCAGGCCCATTTCTGGTGTTCCCTCTGTGATATTGCTGGAATATTGCTATAACCGGCATAAAACTACTCACTCACTCATATTTTGAGAATAGCTCAATGCATGAACACTACCAGTATGTTGTGTGAACACAATGATCTTCAGTGTCTGGAAGCTAACAGTCATATTGCCCTCTTGGCTGTGTAATAAACACTTCACCAGTAGTTAATTGTCTATAGCTGTCCATCAGATAGTGATTGACACCAATTATCAGCTTAGGCCATTGACAATGGTCAGACTGGCTGGACACTAGTGACTATTAATTACAGACAGACAGATCTGTCCTGTTAATGACGACATCAAATGAGACTTTAGAAACTGTCTGTCATCTCTCCTCACAGAGGACCTAGTTATTGAAATGTCTCATAAATTTACAACCAGAAATGACAATTTGTCACAAAATAGAGTCGTAAGAAACAGTGTAATAAAAATGCATATTTACATTGCAACATATATATTTCTTGATCATAATAATATGCAGGGATATTTCATAACCATATATATATTTTTTGTAATTAATAGGGATGTAACTTGGCAGTTACCCCTTAAACTCAAGTCAGTTGATATTCAATTAAAGAATCTGAGGCTTTTTGAGGGGTGTCCTTGAATACTGTCCCTATTAAGCCCAATTATATTTTCAGTGTATTTCCAGCCTTGACAAAAAAAATTCTGAAGAAATCTCAACAAGGTCATAAAACCAAATATAAATTTTACATATCCCAAACACAGCATTCCACTTAAAAGCCAAAGCCTGGTAAATATATGTTAATTCATTTAGCTAATGCTAAGCACATATCACTGGGATAGTATTTTACACAATGAAGTGTGACTGATTACCTTTAAGCCAAAAATTAGCCATTCAAAGGAAAATCAGCAGCCACCCAGTGATGCCAAGGGGGCAGATGACTAGACAATGAAGATTAGAAGAGGAGGCATAATTACATTGGGATATATATGCGATTTTGCCTGGAGTAAGAAACAATAAAGAAACTAAAAATGAAAAAAAAATTTTTTGGGTGGCACTGCAGTTTATTAAATTGTTGTGTTCATTAAAAGAACTAGTGCAACTCGTAAATCCCTATTACCCATGGTTAAGGGTTGGGTGTGTTAAAGGGTGGCTGTCTCAAAAGGAATGGGGTAAGGGTGGATCAAGACCTACCTGTTCTCCCGTATTTCTCTCAATCCCCAACTTGACCTTTCCATACGTCCCCTTCCCCAGCGTCTTGACCAACTCAAACCTATGTTTGAGGTTATGTCTGGTGTGATGGACCGACAACGGTCGTCCCGTGGGTCGCAGCCGTGGTCGCCCTGGGGTGGGGGCACGTGTCATCTCCCGCATGGTATCAGCCATCTCCTTAGACTTCGAAGGCATCACACCAAAGAATAATTTCCGAGCTAGGGTAATCCACCCTCCGATGTATGACGTCCCGGGGGTAGCCGACTGTGCCACCGGGTGTTATGCTCGCTGCAAGTAATTGTCACAAGACGAACACCATTCTACTCCAAGTCGCTGCAAATGTTAATACCTTTCCATTTGCCTTTCGCTATGTCAATTTCCAAACATAAATGCCAATCCACTCAAACAACTGTTACCAATCCGATCACAATGTTCAGCTATGGTATATCACACATATCACACGACCGATACTCCATCCATGAAACAATGCTTCCACGGTACCGCAATGGCCAGACACAGTGGTTGCTAACACATGTATATTCCCCACACGACTGTCCCGATTAGCGGTGTAAAACGTTATGGGACAGTTCACTGGACAATGTGTATCTGATCGTCTCACAGGCCACCTCCTTCCCACTCGCTCGGCTACGGTACTGTTGCGTGTAATTCTGTCTACAACGCTGTCACCCGCGGTAGGCGGAGCTAGGTAAAAATACACATGTGGGCCCATACATTGACAAAGTCGCTTCCTGGTGTGACGTCACAAAAGCCGCGTCATGCATATGCTTCCGCTACGCGAAATAGCGCTCTAGTTTATATCGAGTATGCATTCAACGAAACAGCAGCGGATATTGTCATGAATAAAACTACCTTGGTACTTTTATTCTTAAAAACAGCCTGACATTAAAGAAAATTTAATTCTATTTTATCATAAGAATAGTTTCATTTACCGGCGTCGCTAGCGGAGTGATTTCAGGACGAAATGTCACCTAAGGTCAAAGTTGAGACGATCCACGTGTACCGGCGGCCGTTACTGATAAGTGCTTTATGTCCTCTTCGATCAGTTTTCACCGTGGCATTTTCATAATTTCAAACGAACATTGCAACATTACACCAATCTAGCTGTGACATACACCACCGAAGGAACTTCACAAATGACTGTAAAATACAGAACCTATGGACGTAATTTTTAAAACGTTTATCAACCGAGTGGGTATGCAGTGTAAGTGAAAACGAAGGGACTTCATGAATGACGTGAAAATACAGTCTATATATGAGCGTAAAATGGGGCCTTAAGTGACAGGGTTGTATTCCAATGAATAAGGCTTTTCTTTAAAATTGTTGTCATGCATTCAGTGTTGCGTTATTCAAGGCATTATTGGTGGGATATTTTGCTGTCTATGAGAAGACCCATAAGAAATTTCAAATTTTAAAGTTGGAGTAAGCATAAGTGACAAAACGACATTCGGCGTTTGTACGTTACACAGTTTGGGAGTTAGTGGCGACTGTTTTATGACACGTGAGTGAGTGAGTGAGTTGAGATACCTTTAGTACTCTTCTAACAATATATATTGTGTTGTGGATGGTTCGTTGTCTGGTCCAGACGTAGTTATTACAGTCCGCCGCCTGACGAGGTTCAGGCAGCCTTGAGGTAGCCCCACAGGGTCTTGTGTGATGAAGGAGCTACTTGAAGATGTCCATGGTGGTTTCTGATGCGGATACTGAGTGTGTTGACACTCGTGTGATTGACTCTTGAAGACATTAACATGGTGGACCCTCTTGAAGACTTTGTTACCCCGTGGGGATCCTTGGTCAGAATATATCCACAGCATTGAGTGAGTGAGTGAGAATGATTTTACCCTGCATTTGGCAATATTCCACCAATATCACGACGTGGAACACCAGAAATGGGCTTCACAGATTGTACCCACGTGGGGAATCGAACCAATGTTGGTCATACAGGAACTTAACAGGTGGTAAGGGTAGGTGAGTTGGCGTATCATGGGTAGGTGACTTCACAGGGGTTCGAATCCCCACATGGGTACAATGAGTGAAGCCCATTTCTGGTGTCCCCCGCCGTGATATTGCTGGAATATTGCTAAAAGCGGCGTAAAACCAAACTCAGTCAGTCAGTCATTCACAGGGGCGTGTAACGCTAAAAACTGCCATCAAGGTATAAATTGTCATTGACGGGGTCTTAGTACTATATAAAAGGATCCTTTTATATAGTACTAAGACCTCGTCAGTGACAGTATATACCTTGATGGCAGGTGTTAGCGTTACAAGCCCCTGTGGTTGACTTGACGTATCATTGTACCCAACAGCGTGGATTGTTGTTTATAATACCAATCACTGGATTGCCTGGTCCAGTTTTCATTATTCATATATCACTGTGGTATGGGTGGAATAGTGAGTGCGGTGTTTAACAACAAACAGAACTGAAGTACACCTTTCTACAAACGGGAAAATGACGAATATATGACCAAAGATGTGTGGGGAATGCCTATATTTTATATTCCTGATCGCGATATGCTGCGATATTGTCGATGCGATGTAAACTGATAAACAATAACTCATTCACTCACTCATATTCCGGAGTCAAGCAGTCAGTATGTATGTGACGAAGGATAGATTTCCTTCAAATGTCATATCTACATTTTTTACATACAAAACACAACTTGTTTACATGATAATATGCATGCTTTTCGTAAGAGATCGGGTGGTCAGACTCGCTGACTTTGTTGACATATGTCATCGTATCCCAATTTTGTAGATCGATGCTCATGCTGTTGATCACTGGAGAGTCTGGTCCAGACCCGATTATTCAAATATATAGCTGGATAATTACTGAGTACGACGTAAACCTAAACTCACCCACTCAATTACGTGGTACATGTATTTATTTACACAAACAAATTTTCAAGAAATGTCAAATGAAAATATATTCTAACTAATGCATATGAAAGCATTCTTTGAATTTTTAATAAGGCCAACTTATCGCTATAATATCGCAAATATGAGATATTTTCAGCAGAAAATCAACGTGATGCAATTAACTCAGATGTATATTATTCTTTTATCCGTGAGTATATTCAACATACTTCTGAATTCCTTTCGCAATTCCGGTGGGAAAAAACACGATGTCTTTCCTCCAGTGCCACAGTAAAAGATTGTGAACTAAAACGGGTTGTGAAGAGTACTTCAAAAGTCACGTGATCTGGTAATCGTTCGAGAATCTTCTCTCTCTCCTAAATCCTGATGCAACAAACACCAATAAACGTGTGTTAACTCAGTTTATCGTACCGAAGCTACACGTATATTACACTGTTTATTGTTCTGCTTTATTGAATATTTTCCTTATACATTGTAAAAATATATGTTATAAAAGACAAACCCTCTCTACCATATTGAATGTTATGGCTGCGATCACGACTTTAGCATTATACGAATCGTACATAAAATAACAATTCTTTCATCCGAAGATATAACAATACGACACGAGTTATTCCCCTTAAGTTACTCTAATTTTCGCACAAAAATTATATGAAAAGTTACATTTTCTAAATTAAAATGCTTAAATATTAATGGGTTTGATTCTTATATGACATATAACGCGTATTTATACGTATTGCCAAGCCATATTGTTATAACTCACTATTTACATACATTAAATGTTGAATAAGGCTCTCACGCCGAAGACCCGGGTTCGAATCCCCACATGGGTACAATGTGTGAAGCCCATTTCTGGTGTCCCCCGCCGTGATGTTGCTGGAATATTGCTAAAAGCGGCGTAAAACCAAAGTCAGTCAGTCAATTGAATAAGGCTCATGGTCACACCAACATGTATTTCTGTTAGATTGACATTTTAGATGTTGATGAATAAAAAAAAAGGTATGTCTCTTACTTGACAAGAGCAAGAATCTATACCGAAACGTCGCATGATAATATGATAAAGAGCTGTCATCCATAAAGTATCATACCTTTCTGACATATATTTCCTGAAGATAATTAAGATAAGAGTCATTCACAAACTGTCAGTTTGAAATACGACATATAAATCACACAGCAAATGTGTAGCACTCATTACTACAATATAGGTTTGTGTATGTATCATGATGTCTTTGCTTGTTGTGTTTGACGAAAGTGATTGACAGATTGACACATCTGTAATTAATCACCATGGGAAGCACCTCCGGAAACACCCGAAGCGGGAAGCGGGGCATGCTGAACTCTCGGCAGGTCATGTCTTAACATTGAACACTGATTGTGGAGTTCTATAAATACTGATGTTGAGGACAGTAAACGGTAATAACAAAAACACCCAAAACTAACCTAACATATTAAACGAGACACTAAAAACACTCAGGATCTACACACCTTAGGTCCACATGGATCCCAGCCCATGTTGGTGTGTTTGCCAACGAACATCCGACCAAGCAGCCAAAGCGTCACTTAAACTTAAGATACCTTAAACATAGCATTATCTAAAAACGAAATCAACAGCCTATTAAAACCATATTATCTTCTTAAAGTGGCAAAGTAAATACCAAAATTCTAATTCTAAACTAAAAAACCTACGAAAAACAACACTCAAAGAACTAAAATGAAAACTACCATAAATCTATAAATATTGACAGAACGATAACCAAATTAAAAACAGGTCACACAAAATTAAATTCCCATCTATATAAAATAAATAAACACCAAACAGACAAATGCACCTTCTGCAACGAAACAGAAACGCCCAAACACGTCCTACTACACTACATACTAATGGTGGTCTGATTAATTGAAATAATCGAAGTTTGGTCGCAGTGACTAAACGACCAAGCAATCGATCATATTTTCTCATAATCGAACACAAACAATCCTGGAACACTTTTTGCATTAACAATATTTTTCACAAAGTTGGCTTTGTAAGTTACATTTCATAACCACTTCAAGCTTGTTCCAAGTCATGATTGAATTTATCTTAAAGACTCAAGGAATTTTATGTTCCTAACATACTAGTTAAGTAGTAATCCTTCCAAGATGTGAAATTTGCCTATACCTATTTGTCTACCTATACTTAAACCGGACTAGCTCTACTCTTCACCCGCCTACAATTATAACTGTCACTTACATGCCGACATGAACCCGAGGACATGTTACTCACCACGTATTAGTTTTGAGTAATTATTCTTCATGTACTGTTAACAGAAGTTAAAGAACACCCGTTATATATTACTATAGTAAATGTTGCCCTGCCTTTTACTATATACGGTGGTATCGTAGCCTTGTGGGTAAAGCGTTCGGTCGTCACGCCAAAGACCCAGGTTCGATTCTCCACATGGGTACAGTGTGTGAAGCCTATTTCTGGTGTCCCCTGTTATTGATATTGCTGGAATATTGCTAAAAAGAGGCATAACGCTAAACTCACTAGTTTAACTGTATATATATGTAATTACCTTCTTATAGCCATACATTTTTGTTTTGAGCAGATATATTGTTATATCATATGGAGTAGTCTGTCATACACACCCTGAAACGAAACAAATATGTATCCAAGAAAGCCCATGCAAGTCTATAGAATATGTGGCAAGTCTAGTCTCAGGGCTCCTTTTGGGACCGCCTCCATGGTGTAGTGGTTAGAGCGTCCGCCCGGAGAGCGGAAGGTCGCGGGTTCGATCCCCGACGCGTCATACCAAAAGATGTTAACATATGGTACGTGTTGGTCTCTGCCTGGC